TCAAGATGCAATTTTCAAAAAAAATGCGGCCCGACCGTTGGTGTGGGCAGCAGCCGACACCGCACATGAGAGGTGTACACATGTTGTTGTGAAGACCGGCAAAACCGAATGGAGCTCGAGCAAGAGAGGATCGCCTGCTTACAGCTNCGCGCCCATGAAGAGCGCACCACCGCGGGAGCAGTGCGCAGCTAGAACCGCAGCCCCGGCCCTTGGTTCACTGCAAGAACCTGGTCTTGCAGGTGCGGAAAGATCACGAGATTCAAACTGGGGCGGACGACGTGACTACACCGGACGACCCGTTGGATCGTTGGGAAGGGCTACCCGGCGGGCGCGTGCGTTGAGACTGCGCCAAGAACTACAGGACGCCGTTCCTGGGGCATTCAACCTGTCTGCCAGCAGTCTGCAAGAAGTCGTGAGGGCTTGGATAGATTTCGAACCCGAGTGGGCCGAGGAGGCGAAGAAGAGATACCTGAACAAGGGCACGTACAATAGATACATCTCAAGCGCAAAGAAGATTAGGCGTGCGAAAGGGGCGGAGATGAGAGCCTGGGTGCTCGCAAAAGCGGCGGACGAGTTTCGCGCTGAGAGTATCGAGACGCTCGACCTCGTCGTGAAGGATGCGGCGAAGTCGATCAGCGCAGCAGCGGAGATGGAGGATGTGAGTAATATTTGAAGGCAGCATTTATAGACTAATTTAGACTTCAACGTGTGATTTTCTTTTCTTCTCCAGCATGTCATGCTCGAACCTCCGTCCACACTCTGTAATTTACACTGCTGTTTTGTTTGTCAAAAGGTCATGATTATGGAGGAGTTTCTCGGGCGCCACCACCCCCTCCGAGCTCCGGCTGCCACCGCCAGAGTATCGTCCTGCACATTAGTTTGTCTGCACTCTCAACTAATTTACAAACAAATGCACTCGAAACACTGCAGTCAAACAAATCGGCTACTGAAAATGGAGGGGTTTATCGCCGCCCTCGACACCCCCCTTCGCGCAGGACACCGGTACGGAAGACAACTATTTGTCCAACTATCAGCTGGCGCACACGGTCCAGGTGGCCATGACGTTGATCCAGCTGTACACTCAGCAGCTCAACGGGGTCGACCGGATGGATGCACTGTCCATCGCAGCAGAAGTTGGACGGACAAGTGTTCCAACAGTACAGCTGTGGGAGCGGGATTTCATCGCGCGCGGACACATCAAACCACCCGACACAGGTCGCTTCAAGCGCCGGTTTTTGCTGGAACTCGACGAAGGCATCTCGAAGCTCGCGAAAGACTGGGTGCTCGAGAACTGCGGGATACTGAGTGGGCAAGCCAACAAGACGGCGGAGGATTTCCGTAAGTGGGTGAACGGCACCATCATGCCGATGCTGGAGGCGCAACAATCGGAGTACTTCGACCCTTTCCAAGGATTGAGAATAAGGCTGGTGGAAGGGAAGGAGAACGAGCCGCCGAAGCGCCAAATCTCCCTTTCCACGGCAACGGAGTGGCTGAACAAGATGGGATGCGAATACCACGACGGCAAAAAGGGTCTATACTTCGATGGCCACGACGACGAGAAGACCCTAGAGTACCGGCACGACAAGTTCCTGCCGGCGCTGTTCGAGACCTTNGGAGACCGAGCGCTTGCCGGATGGTGGTGTCTGGGTTGGTGTCGATGATCTCGAGGCAGCGCTGACAGACTTGCCCGCAGACCTGCAAGCCAGAGTGCAGAGCAAGAAAACCTACCCCGACGGGAGGCGGGCCATGCTTCTCTACCAGGACGAGAGCATATTTCGAGGTTAGTCCATTTAGTTTAAACAGAGAAAGTTGGCTCGACTTAGTTTGTTAATTCATTCCGGACGTGAACAGTAGTCTTGCACGCAATTCAATATAAATTCGGGGCTGTGACCAGCAGAGATGTTGACAATGCCACACCCGCCGCCCAAAATTATCGGTTCCTTTTCGTAAATTTATAAATTATTCGAGCGAAGCGAGATTTCTAATCTTGCCTGAGAGGGCTCAGCGCAATAT